TTCAGATTCAAGAGTGAAGGCCCTTAAGTATTCAGGGGTTTTTTTCTTGCAAATCCTTTCTGAATTCTCTTGTAGCCACCTCCCCCTCTCCTTCTTTCCCTGTTAAGGAGATCTGGTATCAGCCCATCCCTCCAAAAGTTGGTGCTTTTTTAAGAGTAAGAATAAAATGTTATTAAAACAGAATCAAGGTACAATTAGATCAGGTGTCTAGGTGACACCCCGAGCAAAATACAACATTACAATTTTGAATTTCTAACACTTCTCAGAAGTTATCAGCAAAATCTGAAAATCCGATATATTCAAATTCTGGTAAAGTGATGACCCAGCTTGTGACAAGTTTGCCCACTAAAGCCACAACCTCTTCAGTCCTTTCTTTTCCTTCAAACAGCCTCCTATTTCTTTCCCCCCACAACAACCAACAAACTGCAAAGAGGATACAGCAACTGACAATCTTAGCTCTCAAACTTCCTCTAAACTTCAGCCATGAAGAGAAAATCTCTGTTGAAGTAGATGGATGGAATATAGGCATCCCAAAAAGAAAACAGAAGAAACTCCAGATGCAGTTTGCTAGGTGGCATCAGTAGAATAAGGGGTCTACAGTTTCCTCATCTGATTTAAACATGTAGCAGTAGTTTTCCAAACAAAACCCCCTACTTTTCAGATGATCTATTGTGAGGATGCTGTCCATTGCAGCCAGCCACGCAAAGGCTTCAATTCTTGGAGGAATTGGGTTGCCCCAAATTCCGTGCACCTGATCATTTGTTACACTATCTTCAATGAGTTTCAGATAGAAAGACTTCACCGTAAATCTTCCATCCCTACCCTCCTTCCACCATAGGCCATCTGCACAATCAATGGACACCCAAATCTGCTCCAGCCTTTCCAGCAGTAGAACACATTCCTCCAACTCTTGGTATCTTAAGGGTCTTCTAAACTTAGGACTCCAAACCATCTTGTCGCCACTTTACTTCCAGTGATTTAAAAGGCACACCTCAGGCGCGCCTAGGCGCACAGGCGAGGCGCATTTTGGGGTATGCGCCTCACCCAGGTCCAAGGCGCACCCCTTTCAAAAAGCACACGACTGATGCGCCTTGTGCCTCAGCCCAGTCATGCACCTTTTCAAAATTTTGCGCTTTTTGCATTTTTTTGAGTCTAACGGCTAGTTCAAACCCTAACATAGACTTGTCCGGGCTTGCCTCGAGGGGCACAGTACAAAGGCGACTCATAGAATCAAGAATGCAATATATTTTACATCGTATTAGATACTTGAAGCAATGCAATTAAGGAAAAAAAGAGATTGTGGGTTTTACATGCTTGAAAATGCTTTATATGTTTGCTTTTATTTTTAAATTTTCATTTGAATACACTTTACATGTTATGTTTATGTATTTTAATTTTAGATAATTGGTTTTTTAAAACATTTGTTGTAAAATTTATGTTTATATCTTTTATTAGCATTATGTTTAATATCTTTTGAATTTTTGCATTTTTAAAAATTTTTTGGCATTTTTTTCAAGTTTCCTGACTTTTTTTATTTTTTAGCTTTTTTTGTAGTTTTGCGCCTTTCTTAAAAAGGCGCGCGCCTTGCCGCCTCAGGCGCAAATTGGCCCTTGCGCCTTGCGCTTTTAAAACACTGCTTACTTCATAGCATTGGGCTATAGAGACCTGATGTTCTGTCAGTCTGTATAACATTGGGCATATCTCACAAAATTTCCCAACCCCACTCCAATCATCCTCTCAAAATCTCACGTTGGGAAGTGTTTCATGGCACCAATAACACCTTTGATTTTCTTAAGAGGAAAAGACCAAATTGGTGCTTGTCCCCAAGTTGGTGCTTCTTATGTAAGTTATATGGTGAGATTGCCTTTCATCTTTTAATTTCCTATCCTTTTGCTAACTCTATTTGGGAGTGGTTTGAATCTCTTTTTGACTGTAGATGGGTTCCCCCTGATAATCTGGAAGTATTTTTAGCTCTCACATTTTCAGGTGCTCCAAAAGAAGAGGGATAATGGGGAGATGCACTAGAGCAATAGTGGTCTGGACAAATTGGAAAGAAAGGAACCGAAGAATCTTTGAAGACAAGGAGTAAGGAAGCTTTAACTGAGGTTATAACCTTAAAGGAGGACTAGTTTGGGCTTCGAGAACCCCCTATTTGGTAATGTTGTTCATTCATTCATCTTAATAAAATATCTTCTTAAAAAGCAATAAAAACTATAAAATCATTATCTTTTATGTGAGAACTAAGAATTTAAGACCTAAAGTTGACTTGTTTGGGCTTGCCTCGAGGGGTGTCGGAGTGGTACAAAGGCGGCTTGTAGAATCAGGAATGTAATATGTTTTACATCACATTAGCTATTTGAAGTAATGCAATTGAGAAAAAAGAAAAAAAAGAGATTGTGGGTTTTATATCCTTGAAAATGTTTTATATAYTTGATTTTATTTTTAAATTCTCATTTGAATATGCTTTACATGTTATATTTATGTATTCTAATATTAGATAATAGGTTTTTTAAAAGATTTATTTTAAAATTTAAGTTTATATTTTTATTAATATTACGTTTAATAATTTTTTGATTTTTTAAATTTTTGGCTTTTTTATTTTTTTTATTTTTTGTGCCTTGCTTGAAAAGGCGTGCGCCTCACCTTGCGCCTTGCTCTTTTATAACACTGGGTGGCACATTGGGTGAAAACCTTAAAGCTTTATGCTGACTTTAAGGTAGAAGATTTCTTCAGCTCATGGGGAATAATTGCTGGCTCTTTCTCTAGAAAACAAATAGTACATGAGGTCTGGTCTCCTCAATGTGCTTGGTGGAAGAAACAGAACTTTGATAGTAATTGTATGGGAAACCCTGGCCTTTCGGGTATTGGTGGGGTCACAAGGGAAGAAGATGGAAACATTCTAGCCATGTATTCAGGTCCTGTTCAGCATGGAGATTTGATGAGATCAGAACTGATGGCAGCAGTGTATGGAGTAATATGGAAGCTAAGGAATGAGTTCAGGCACTTCAAGCAGATATCGAAAGACATAATGATCCAAATAAAGTGGGTTAGGAGATCCACAAACAGTATGGCTGATGGTTTAGCAAAACAAGGAATTCAGAGACAACCCATGCTCTGGGCTGTTTTGTAAATAGTAGGATAGTTCTTCATGGGTTTCTTGTTTCTGCCCACAACTCCTTGTTGTATATGTTCTTTTTAATCTAATGAATCAAATTTTGTGTTGCTGATAAAAGAATTGAAAAAAAAAAAAAAAAGCTCTTAGCTCTTTATGGACTTGGATTTGCAAGAGAAAGGGAGTGGAAATGATCAATTGTTGGACACTGTCAAGTCACGATTAATCAGTTTCTATTGAAGATTGAAGGACCTTGGTGTTTTAATACGTAAAACCAGAGAAGCTTTGTCATTATCTACCAATCTGAACTAGTAGGATATCTGGGTTTGATAATAGCTTCAAAGATAGCCTAGCTAGATAAGGAGTCAACAAGAGTGTAACGGATTGAGGGAAGCTGGGTTCATGAGTATCATTTGTAATTTTTTTCATTCAAAACAGTTAGCCTTCATTAAAACAACAGTTAAAACATACAATGTCAACCACTCAAAGCATGAGTGTTGACCCCATATTTTATTTCAAGGTTTACAACACAGCCCAAAAGATATTCTCCTTAAGGGTCCCCTGCTTTTCCAAAGTATCAGCCAAACCATTGGCTGACCTCCTTATCCATTTGAAAAGTACGCCAGCTTCCCTTGCTAAGCAAAAATTCTCCCTCATTTGCTGTCTAAAAGTCCAAATCCCCAAGATTTGTTGTATGCGGCCATCCTATTAACAATTTAGAGTCTCCCTCCACCTCAAAATTGTGAAGCCCCATTGCTTCGTCAGCCTCAGACCTTGAAATAAGGCCATAACCTCAGCTCTTAATGGATCACCCACAACTATTGGGACAGAGTATAGTGCAATCAGCCTGTCCTCCCTGTCTCTGAATGCTCCCTCAACTCCAGAGGGATCCAGGTTGCCCAGAGAACTCCCATAAAAATTCGTCATTTGTAATTTATTTGCTAGTTGATCAACTAATGTTTTGTCAGCCTATGGCTGTTGAGTTCCTGAGTTATGGATCACCCACAACTATTGGGACCGAGCATAGTGCAAATCAACCTGCCCTCCCTGTCTCTGAATGCTCCCCCAACTCCAAAGGGATTCAGGTTGCCCAGAGAAGTCCCATAAAAATTCATCATTTGTAATTTATTTGCTAGTTTATCAACTAATGTTTTGTCAGCCTATGGCTGTTGAGGTCCTGAGTTACCTACATAACTCTCTGGAGAGTAGGATATCAGCATATTCTCCTTCTACAATGCAATAAAATAATTGCTAACGATTAAAAAGACAACAATGAAAGGTTTGCACAAACTTACTCAGTTTTGACTAAAGAGAACATACAAACTCAAATAAAGGAACTCTGCACATGAACATCCCATTTTGCATTTAGAATCCCAATCTTAACAATGTAGCAACCTCCAGAAACCCATATCCAGATAAAAAAACAATCCAGGTTAATCAAATTAAGCAAAAAATTGTGAGCATTTAAAATCTTATTTATTTTACCCCAGTCAGGATATTTCAGCCAACATTGGCAAGTCTGCAAAGCCCAGTCAGAGACTAAAAAGGATACAAGAAAGCAAATGAGGAAGTAACACAAGCCACAAGAGCAGATTTCTGTATAAAAAGCTAAATAACTCAAAGGTTCCATATGTCTTCAGAAGTTCAGATTGCAAACTTGTCAAACACAAGAACTTCAAGTGAAAAACCAAACTTTAAAGTCCAATGAAAATCCTAGAAGTTGTCACATTCCAATCACAATGCATTTGAGTAAAAGTAACTTCAACAGCTGACTCAAATATGTTGTATATTCCAAGCATCCAGTTTTCTGGAATAATAAATTGTTGTAATGTACTACAGATGAAAATTGAGTATCGAAGAAGCAAGCTTTAGGAAAGAGGAGGGAAACCTTCACTGTCCGCTTACTGAACTTCTCAATATCCTCCTTGTCTCCAGTCTGCATTATTAAACAAAAAAAAGTAAAAACATTAAAAAAACATAGAAATTTTATACGACACGGATACTTCTACATACTGAACACCCATGTCAGGTGCGATACAGACCCCATAAGAAACAGGATATTGCACAGGCAGCCCTACCATATACTGATATACTTTATAGCATTGTTTATGAGTGCATGTACTTCATAGCATTAACACAACTGAAAGACATAAAATGCACCATGTTGAGTCTTAACAGATCTATTACTAAAGAAATCTGTACATGTTGTACATGCAATTAAATTTGGAAAGATACGACTATATGAGTATTGAGAAACTTAACCTACAAAGTCCCAGGAGAGAGAGAGAGAGAGAGAAATAGAAGCAACATTATATGTTATACTCATACAAATGTTGTGGGGTATCTAACCCCTAACTAACATGATTGATGAAAGGGAAGTTGGTTTTTGATTTAGAATATCAGTCTATTTGAACTTTCCACCATCAAGCATGGAGGACAGACAGACATGGAACCATGATCCTGAAGAAATATAGTTCAATCTCTTCTCAATCCCTTGTTGAGAAATAATAAAGCACCTTCCCAATCAATTTCCACGAGAAGTTATTTCTCCCAACAAATAGATTTTCTTTTCCAAGTGGATGGAAATTCTAATAAAATTTTGATCATGTAATCGTTCCTAACTCCACATCACAAGTCTACAAGCAGAATGTAGAGAGACTGGGCCGAATGGGCCCTAGCCCATTAGTGTCTTTCTTATTAGTTCTTTCATGTTATGTTTTCTTATTGAGCCTTTTCTTTATGGGCCTTTAGTTCATTTTATGTTTTTCTAAGTTTACTGCTGATGTGGACGCCTACTTAAGGGCCTCCTTGTAATTTATGTAAGTTAAGTATGTTTTATAAAAGATAAGAGTAGGGAAAAGATGAGACATTCGAACTCCTTTCTTTCTCCCTTCTTCTGGATGTCTCCTTCTTCTTCTCTGATTTCTTTTACTTTATTCTGAAATATTCTACTGATTTTATTAGTTTTGAATCACATCTCAGAATATGGAAACTTGCACAAACCAAGCCTAAGCTTGATTTTTAGCTCATTCGTCTAAGCAAATGGAGCCAGGTTTGGGCGGTTTTGGCTCAGCTAAATCTTGGCTAACGTAGATAATATAATATATATATATACGATGTATAATAAAAATATTGCATAGAATAGATATAAATGTTATAACTTTTGTTAATTCTATTTTCTTTTAATGTCTAATTTTTAAGGCCTCAAAACATGAGCTCTAAATTTGGGCTGCAATGGTCCCAGTATCAAAATATTACCTAAAATAGTCAAACCTGAGCTCAAGTATTAGTTCAGAAGCCTGAGCAGAGCTGGGCAAGGCTCAGCACAGCTCATCCCAACTCAACTTGTTTACACCCCTAGGCAMCATTAGTTTCAAACCTATTGTTTATATCCTTCAAAAGTCAATGCAGATTTCTTTTTAAATTATTATCATCTCCTATATGTTGGAGTATACAAAAAAAAGGACAAAAGAGAACATTTTTAAGACAAAGCTAACAGAATCAAAGATTTTTCATTTAGTTTCAAACCTATTGTTTATATTCTTGTAATTTATGTAACTTAAGTATGTTTTATAAAATATAAGAGTAGGGGAAAGAGGAGACATTCGAACTCCTCCTTTCTTTCTCCTTTCTTCTCCAATCTTCCTCCTTCTTCTTGCAGTCTCCTTCTTCTTCTCTGATTTCTTTTACTTTGTTCAGAAATATTCTACTGATTTTATTAGTTTTGAATCACATCTTGGTTCTCTCTTCCCTTTCCTTTTTTTTCTTTTTTTTCCCATACATCTTTTTTTCTAATTGAAAGGTGTATGGAGAGATAAATTGCTGATTATTCAGAGATCTTGTTTGCTTAGTTGGTAGAGGGTTTGGAGAGTTAGAATCTGGCTGAAGATTGCCAAGAAAGTGGGACTACAATTTTTTTTCCCAAAACCCTAGCCAACTAGAGAATTTCCAATTACGAGTTGGAGAGGCTGTTTGGATGTGGCGCTCAAAGCTTGGAGGGTTCTTTTTTATCTCCAAAAGTGGGCGGCTGCAAATGGAAGTCGTTTGGATAGCTCTGGTATGAGCGGCTACCTCTTCTCTCTTTCTCCCCGGAAGCCAAGTACGGTGAAACCCTAGTTTTGGGGCTTTTGAGTGCTCGACTGACCTTAGTTAGGTTTATAAAGGTTAAAAACATTGTTTTTTTTATTTTCGTTTGATTGATGGAGCAATCTAGAAGTGAGGTGAAGCAAATCCCGATGTCGGGGGTTGGTCACGAAGATTCCTTTTTTACAGGAATGACTACAATTAAACTTGATGGAACAAATTACCTTGCGTGAGCACAATCCATTAACATCCATGTCTGTAGTAAAGGTAAACTAGGGTTTCTAATGGGTAGTAAGGCGAAGTCGGATGAGTCTGACCCTACATATGAGAAATGGATGCAAGATAACTACACAGTTATTGGGTGGTTGGTAAATTCTATGCAGCCCCATATAGGTCAACACTATCTGTGGATGACTTCAACCAAGGAGATTTGGGATATTGTGACAGAAACATATTCTCAGAAATTAAATGTTGCAAAGGCCTACAAACTAAAGAGTGGTGTGAAAAATTTAAGACAGGGGGAGAAGAGTGTGGCTGTCTATTATTCGATGTTGAAGTCATTATGGCAAGAGATAGATGTTATGGAAGCATTTGTATGGGAAAGCACCAAAGATGCAGAAACTTTCAGAAAATTTGTTGAAAAAAACAAGGTTCTTAGGGTCCTTACAGGACTCAATCTTGAATTTGATATTACAAGGCAGGATATCCTGGCCAAGAATGAAGTGTCACTTGCTTAGGCATACTCTATGGTGAGCAGTGAAGAGAGCATGTGACAAGTACAACAACAGATCCCACCTCCTCCAGAACATTTTGCACGTGCTGGAATAAAACCAAAGGGGCTAAATGAAAAAAAGGAGGTGATATGTGAATATTGCAAGAAGCCGAAACATACTAAGGATTCTTGTTGGAAGTTTCATCCAGATCTTCTTCCTAAGAGGTTTCGAAACAACAACAACTTTAAGAAGGGTGGTCAGTCTAGAAAGCCCGAGAATGCAAATGTTGCTACAGTATCTGAATGTGAAGAAAAATCTGCATGGAACAGCTGGCAGCAGTGAAGGCAGGATTTGAGAGATATGGGAAGTTGATAAACCACTTGGAGTCTACTATTGCATCTTCCTCCTCAGGCACCCCCTCTAAATCTGCTTTTGCCCATTCAAGCATTCGTACTTCTACAAATCATGCTACAACCTCAGGTAGTCGTAGAATTCCTTGGATCATAGATTCTAGTGGGTAGAGAGAAGATTTCTCTTGCCGATGTGCCATTTGCTCCCATCTCTGGCAAGGGGAATATTAAAGCCTTTGACTCACTTGTATTATCCTCTGTCCTTCATGTTCCCAAACTTAGCACTAACCTTTTATCTGTTAGTAGTTTAACAAAATCAATGAACTGCAACATAACCTTCTTTCCTACTTATTGTGTTTTTCAGGACCTGAAGTCTCAGAGGACAATTGGGAGTGGCCATGAGGCCAATGGGATATACTTGTTGGATGTCTCTAATCAAAGTCCTAGGTTACCTGGTGGAGTAGCTTTGGAGTCTGTTTTATCAGAGTCAGTTAATAGAGTCTTGATATGTCATTTCGGATTTGGTCATTTGTCTTTTTCAGCTGAGTCCTTTGTTTCTAGAAATGTTTAATGGAATATCCCTATCGAGTCTTCATTGTGAGTCATGTGAACTTGCAAAACATTGTAGACAATCTTTTTCAATGAGAAATAAAAAATATGTTTTTCCTTTCCATATTGTGCACTCTGATGTGTGGGGTCCATATCATTTACTTGCTATGGGGGGTTACAAATATTTCATTCTTTTCATTGATGATTTCTCTTGTTACACCTGGATTTACCTTATGAAATTCCAGGATGAAGTACCAAATATTATACAAAAATTTCATGAGCTTATACTTACCCAATTTAACACTCGGATCAAAATATTCCAATTTGATAATGCAAATGAATATTTTGAGAAGAGTCTTTCCTCATATTTTGATACCTTCGGAGTTACTCATCAGAGTTCCTGTTCCTACACTCCTCAACAAAATGGAGTGGCGGAAAAGAAGAACAGACACGTGGTTGAGGTTGCGAGGAGCCTCTTTTTTGCTTCCCATGTTCCTATTAAGTTTTGGGGTGATGCTGTCCTTACAGCTACATACTTGATAAACTGAATGCCTTCTCGGGTTCTAGGGTTTAAAACTCCCTTTAGCTTGCTTTGGATGCACTTGCTATGTTCATGTTCACAGTCATCAAAGACATGAGTTTGAGCCTAAAGCACACAAGTGTGTCTTTTTGGGATATGCCTCCACACAGAAGGGGTACTGCTGTTTTGATCCAGTTTGTGGCACTCGCTTTGTTTCTAGAGATGTCACATTTGCAGAGCCAGTCCATTTCTTTGGTACTTCTCTTGAGGGGGAGCACTCAAACGAGTTGTTTGCATTGTCACCATCTATTCCTCTTCCAATTCCCATTGAATCTTCCATAGAGTCTACTCCAATTGAGTCATCTATCCCTACTCCCCCTCCTCCTCATACTCATTCCCCTTCTTTTCTTTCACATCCTATTATCTAGAGGTGGTACCAGAGACAAAGACTTAGAGACATGCAAATTGTTTCCACGCCTTCAGATGTGCCTCTTGCTCCTCCCATCACTACTGAGATAACAGGTCAGCCCTCTTCTACCACTTCAGATACTTCCCCTGACCTTGATCTCCCTATTGCCCTTCGCAAAGGCAAATGGAAATGCACAGCTCATTGTATTTCCAAACACCTGTCCTACAGCCTCCTTTCCCCTTCCTACTATTCCTTCATTGCCTCTATTTCCACACATGTAACTCCCCGGTCTGTCCCATATGCCTTATCCAAACCAGAATGGAGAGATGCTCTGATGACTGAACTAGATGCTTTGCATAAAAACAATACCTGGAAAATTGTGGATTTGCCTAAGGGAAAGGAACCGGTTGGTTGTAAGTGGGTGTTTACTATTAAGCATCATTCTGATGGTAATGTTGAGAATTATAAGGCTGTTTGATTGCTAAAGGGTATACTCAGATGTATGGTATTGACTATTTAGAAACTTTAGCTACTGCTTTTGACTGGCATCTTCATCAGTTTGATGTAAAGAATGCCTTTTTGAATTGAGACCTAAATGAAGAAGTCTATATGTCTTTACCTCCAAGGGGGTATGGGAAGGAGATGCAAGAAAAGGTTTGTAAACTGAAGAAGTCTCTTTATGGCCTTAAGCAGTCAGTCTCCTAGAGCCTAGTTTGACAGATTCTGGGCTGCTCTTGTTGCTTTTGGATACACACAGACTCAGTCGGATCATACTTTATTTGTTAAGAGGAGAGATTCCTTAGTGACCCTCCTGATTGTCTATGTTGATGATATTGTGGTTACATGAAATGATACTCAGGAAATTGTTCATCTCAAGAGTTTTCTTAACACTGAGTTTGAAATTAAAGACTTGGGAGAACTCAGATATTTCTTGGGAATTGAAGTTGCCAGATCTAAAGATGGTATCTTCATTTCTCAATGGAAGTATGTTCTTGATCTCCTTGCAAAGACTGGGAAATTGGGGGCTCGACCTGCTTCTATTCCTATTGATCTAAATCATAAGTTGCCAGCGACTGAAGGTGAACTGTTGCCTGATAAGGGGGTGTTCCAAAGACTGGTAGGGAAGTTACTTTACCTTTACATGACTCGGCTAGATATCTCCTATGCAGTTAGTGTAATCAGCCAATTTATGCATTCTCCCAGAGATAGACATTTAGCAGCGGTTGAGAGAGTTCTGTGCTATCTAAAAGGGACTCCAGGGAAAGGTATCTTATTTGCTAAGCATGGACACATGAAGTTGGAAGCATACACTGATGCTGACTGGGCCGGATGTATTGATGATAGGAGGTCTACTTCAGGTTACTGTGCTATTGTAGCAGGGAACATTGTATCGTGGAGGAGTAAGAAGCAGTTTGTAGTGGCAAGATCTTTAGCTAAAATGGAATACAGGGCAATGACACATATAGTTTCTGAACTTCTGCGGTTGATATCACTTTAACATGAATTGGGTATAGACTGTGAGAAGCCAATGATGTTATATTATGACAACCAAGCTGCTATCAACATTGCACACAATCCTGTTCAACATGACAGAACTAAACACATTGAGGTTGACAAGCATTTTATACGAGAGAGAGCTGCCACAGGAGAGGTCTGTCTACCATTTAATGCTTCTGAATAACAGTTGGCTGATGTTTTGACGAAAGGTGTTCCTAAAGAAAACCTGATTCATAATATAAGCAAGCTAGGCATGATGGATATCTATGCTCAGCTTGAGGGGGAGTGTAGAGAGACTGAGCCGAATGGGCCCTAGCCCATTAGTGTCTTTCTTATTAGTTCTTTCATGTTATGTTTTCTTATTGGGCCTTTTCTTTATGGGCCTCTAATTCTTTTTATGTTTTTCCAAGTTTAGTGCTGATGTGGACGCCTACTTAAGAGCCCTTGTAATTTATGTAAGTTAAGTATGTTTTATAAAAGATAAGAGTAGGGAAAAGATGAGACATTCAAACTCCTCCTTTCTTTCTCCCTTCTTCTAGATGTCTCCTTCTCTGATTTCTTTTACTTTATTCTGAAATATTCTACTGATTTTATTAGTTTTGAATCACATCTCAGAATATGGCAACTTGCACAAACCAAGCCTAAGCCTGATTTTTAGCTCATTCGTCTAAGCAAATGGAGCCAGGTTTGGGCGGTTTTGGCTCAGCAAAATCTTGGCTAACATAGATAATATAATATATATACGATGTATAATAAAAATATTGCATAGAATAGATATAATTGTTATAACTTTTGTTAATTCTATTTTCTTTTAATGTCTAATTTTTAAGGCCTCAAAACATGAGCTCTAAATTTGGGCTGCAATGGTCCCAGTAT